TTATGCAGCTCTATTTTCATCGTCTATGTACACCGAAGACTGGTTGACATTAAATGTCTACGATATGAATATTGAAAAGTGCCATCTAGTGAGGCATAGTAAAACTTATTGACTAATATAAACTTTACATTCAAATACATATTTTATCTTCATACTGTTAAATTACTGATATTAGGATAATTAAATAAAACTCGAAAATTATGGTCCAATACATTTAATTACCAATTTCAAGCCATAATGTGCTCCAATTATAATACACAAGCATGTAACTTAACAATTGTGTATACCTACGATTAATATGTTACTAATACAAGTTGTCCATTATATTATGCCCAATAATATATATAATTAGTAAGTACATGTAAAGACAAGTGATTAAGCTACTCAGCAGAAGCAACACGCAGCAGAAAGTAGAAATTTAAGAAATTTTACTATGACTTAATTATACAACATTACTTACTAACCAGAAAGAAGATCTTTTTCAATCTAAGATGCTAAACAAAATGCGACACTTGGCAAAGAAATATCAAATAAGTAGTGGCAACACCAACAAATTTCAGTAGGAGTGTAATGTTCATTTCAAACATTCCATATGCGGTTATATTCCAATTCCAAGCACTCGCTACTTCAAGTAATGTCTTAGCTTGGGTCCTAGCGTCGCCAGAGAAGTTGTAATTCATAACAATTTCATTTATAAGAATCTTTGTCTCATTTCGTTTGGTGAGAACTTTCTCGCAGACGTAGCATATGAGGGCAAGAAAAAATAGTTCGCCAATACACCAAAATAGGTTTCTTACGAAAAATGTCGAATCCTTTAATATTCGATAGTAATAAATATATGTCCATAAAGTAATGATTACGTAAAAAAATGTTGAAATCAGCGTTTGGAAAATGTTGATTTCGAAAATTCTGTTAATCGTTAATATCATATTCGACATCAAACTGTAAGCGATGGATAATGACTTTATTGACATGTTTTCAACTTTACAACCAATGTAATACAATTCTGAAGTCTTCTTTATAACTATGCCGTTTTCGTTTGGGGCGAAATTACGCAAATGATTATTCAACACATTTATTCTCTCTGTTATCATAATAATGTAGACGGAGAAGAATACCACCTGTAATTTCTGCCCAAACGATATGACTGCCATGCACAAGATCATAACTGTCATCTTTTGGTTGACATAAAGTTCGTATGTTATACTTAAGCTAAATGAAACCACAAGCGTAGAGATTTTAATGATAGTATTACGTTTACATTTAGAATAAAACTCTTCAGTAATACCCAATAAAGAATCAATTTCAGATATGGTTTTTATAAATATTATATTTTGTTTTGAAAATACAAACGGAACAATCAAAGAAGTAATGAACTGACTTGTCATAAATATAGAGGGTGATACGCTTAAAATTTCAAACGTCACTCCATTAAATGTAAATGGTGTTTGAGTAAGCTTTACCATCTGATATGTATAAGATGTTATTGTAATAAAAAACACGCAGATAGTATGAATCTTTGTCACTCGTGGTGGTGCTGTCAACGTTCCATTTGCGGAACTAAATCGAAATATTCCGAATAGATTCTCAGTTATAAGTAATGGTTTTAAAGAGTCCACCACATTATGCACGTTATTCTCCATCGTTTCGCTAACAACAAAGTGATGGTGAGAAGACAATGTAGAACATTTAAATTATACATCCACTCTTTACAAGGTCTTGTACGTGTTTGAACTTATTGTTACTTATTAATTTAATATTAGTACGAACCATCAATCACTAAGTAAATTAATAACGTAGTATAATAATTTACTAAAGTGTTTGTACATTCCTGGTACATAAATATGTATCGACAAAACAAGCTTATGAGTCGATAAAGGTGGTTATCGTTAAACCATGGATTTCGGTTCTAATGATTCATATTTAAATTCGCGTAAACTAAAGAAAATCTCCAACAGTCAACTCTCTTCTTAAAAGTATATAGATGGTATCAGCTTGAAACTGCCGTTTCCACCGTTCTCTCGTTAGTCAAAAGATAATCTTTGTAAAGAGATGAGATTTCCAGCCATCGAGGTGAAGTGGGACATTTAGATATATTTTTAAATCGTCTTTATTTATTTCATTTTCGAAATAAAAGACATGCCATTACAAATACCGTATTGTTATTATAACATTTTTTCTTATATAAAATGAGAGACTTGAATCAGAAGTATGAAATATGTGGTAGAAATATTTATAAATTTCAAAATAAAATTTATGTTCAGCTGAAACATACCATATACTACGTTATTCATTGGCCATGTATCCACCACTTCCTTTAAAGTTTTCGCCTGATTTCTCACTTTATCTGATATATTGTAATTCATTATAATATCGTTTGCCAAAACTTCTGTCCTGTTTCGTATTTTAAGAATATTTTCACACAAACAGCATACAATTATGAGATAAAATATTTCAGTTGTGCACCAATATGCAATCCCTACCATATATTTATGTGATAACTTAAATATTCGATAGTAATTAATATACATATATAACGACGTTATTATGTTAAAAAATGAGGTAACTATAGCAAAAAACAAATGCACTTCGAAAACTGAATTTACTAATAGAAGGGTATTCCCAATCAAATGGAAAGACTTTGATAAACTTTTAATTTCAACTGTTTCGGCCATCTTTGGTCTGATAACAAATACGGAACATTTCTTTACTTTATTACATCCAATATTGCTTATAGTCAATAAACACTTATTGAGAATATTAATCCTCTCAGTTACCAAGCTAATGTATACATAAAATGAAAATATTCGTAGTTTGTCCCCGTATTTAATTAGTGATATGAACAGTACAGTAACTGTGAACACATCTTGAATATAAAATTCGTATACCATACTTAGAATAAAAATAATAGTGAAGGTGATTAATTTTACCAAAATTCTTCGTTTGCCTTTCCTATAGTGTATTTCGTCTACATTTAACAGGTGATCTATTCGGGATAATGATTGCACAATGATAACATTCTCCTTAGAGAACATAAAAGGCACTAACATTGATATGACAAATTGAATCACTACGAGTACGATCGGTGCTGCATTCGAGAGTTCCAATTTTATCCCTTCAATACCATACGGTGACTGTGAAATGCATAATACTGCTAAATATGGAATGCCGATGACAATTAACAGAGCCATAGCATACGCTTTACTCATAAATGTGGGTGGATTCAAAGATCCTCTTACTTGACGAAAACGAAAGGTCCCAAAACACTTTTCCACAAACAATAAGGGCTGAAGGCAGTCCAAAATCTGGGGAAGCCTTTCTTGTATAGCTTTAGTTTCCATTTGATTTTCAAATATAGTTATTTCCATTTATTTGATTACGTGAACACTTTGGACGTGCGAGGAGTAGAATATCTATTACGCCTTTTCCATTAGAGCCAATCACTTAAAATTTTGACTATTAAGTAATGAGTTATTTCAATTTAATTAATCGTTATCGAAGGAGATCGTTATGAAACGTCGGACCGTGATAAAATTAATTAATTAAAATTACTATAATTTTTTTTTAAATATATTTTTTTTATTTTAAAAACCTGGGTATATTAAATAGCATTACAATGTTACGTCTTTGTAAGGACTATTTTTATGTTATAAACAGATTAACACATTATTCCTGCGATATATTACTATATTTTTAAATAAACTCTACAAAAGGAATTTATGGAAAGCTTTTAAACTAATATAATATACGTACATTAAGCTAAAAAAATCTAAAAAGTTAACTGAGAAATAAGAATTTATAAAGCCTTTATTTTCATTGCCCAACCACCGAAGACTGGTTGACAATTATTATGGTTGGATTAATGTCTATGATTTGAATATTGAAAAGTGCCATCTAGTGAGGTATAGTAAAACTAATTGACCAATATAAACTTTTACATTTTAGTAGGTATTAAAAATATTTATTTTATCTACAGTCTTCAATATCTCTTATAAGGATTGAATAATTTTTTTAAATACACAATGCTTAGAATAAAACATACTTAACGAAATGTTCAAATAAATTTCACTTATATTTTTAAGCAAGTATAAAAAAACCGATAAAAAGTCGAATATTTACTAAGGCGGATATTGAGGATATATCATTAACGAATTGATGACGTAATGACTTATATCCGCATTACAAATTAGGAATCTATACTAAATGACTCCACGGACCGCAGACCTCATTTTCGATGAAAACTCATTCATCAGTGCCTGACAGAGTTTACTATCATTATGAAGATCTTGGAAAATTTTAAATAAGGAATACTTTTTTTAATCCTTTTACAACAGTCTGTGGTAGTTATAATATTTCGTTATATATAAAAAAAAATTCGGTATCTTCGGTAAAAATCTATTTAGTTATTCAGCTGTCAAAAACACCGACCAAACTGCGGGCTTGCGCTTACTGTATCGACCGTCGCAATTTTAGGCACGTATATTGGAATGTCGATAAAAATCTAAAACTAACATTTTTCCTATTCACTATTATTTTCATTACGCATATCTATAAATTAGCGTAATTTGTGCTTACTGATGCATTTGCTTCTAATTTTAGCATATTTAATTATTATTGACATAAAAATAATGAGATGACCACAATGAAACTAGCTAAAATATATAGTATATCCAATCGCATGCAATCAAAATTTATGCCTCAACGCATGTTTAAAAAATTTAAATTACTTATTAGCCAAAACAATGATAAAATGTGCAACGTTTGTACTTTAGTACTTATTTAATTTCCACTTTTACATTATTGCTACTCTACTTTTAAAAGGCGCTATATTATAAAGTCTCAGGATGATTTAGTAAACGATTTTTAAGGATTTCTATCGACGGGAGCATCTCCCTAAAACGTAGGTACAAGAAGGGAAATAACTGGCACAACGCCGCGGCATTAGTCGCGCGACGGACGCGCGGGAGGCTGCTGATGCAGCCAACCGTCGCCACCTCACCATGGGTCAAGCCGCTGCTGCCGAACGTAACGGTAATGATGACGATGAACCACGTATCCACGTTAACCCAACTGAAACCTCTTTGGTAAGTTACGAAATCCTTTTATCTGCAATGCCGTTATCATAGAAAAATCTAAGAAAAGTCACGTGTCTTTTGTTTTGTATTTGTGGTATGGAAGTATGTTTTTATATTTTATTTCATTATGATTCTAACTTGAACTCTCTGTACACATTAATTATCGAGTTATTTAAAATATAAGTAAGGGAGTTAGCTAACTTGTTTATAGTAGTTCATAGTCATGAACGTGAACAATGCAACTTTTTATCGATCCGCTATTTTGCTGCAAATATGACATCATGCAACTTGTAAAAACACGCAACACAAAAGTCATCAGATTTTAATTTTAATTTCAAAAACATGTCATAATTTAGTAAAAGAAAACGAATTACAAAAGTTAGGGATTATATTAATCAAATATCTGTTATAATGCACGCAGCACAGATCTATAATTAATTATGAATTATAACTTAAAATGATATGACGGAAACAAGAATACGTAATTAATATTAATAATAATAATTAGTAATTGGAACATTTAATATATTTAAAATCTAAGAATTTATATGTAGGAATCGAATTAATTTACACTAACCAATTGCATTATATAATTGTTAAACTTCGCGCCTAACGTGGCGCGTAATTTTAAAATAAATGACAACGTCTGTCAACTGTCCGCGTGACAATAATTTTATCGCACTGTTAAACTTCATAGATGTAAAACGGAACGCATTCCAGTTCATTATTTTGGTGAGCTCGCGTTCAGCTGTCAAAATACTTAACAACTGTGTGACTACTAGTCTAGAGTATTTTAAAAATATTATGTGCAGTGAATTATTGTGAAACGATCGTATAGTAAATTTTCATGAGAAATTAAACAATAGCATCGATTTTATTATTGTTGCTGAGACTAAACTAACTAACAATGGGGGTTTTACCGTGCAATAAATATTTGTGATACGTCAAAACAAAAATCAAAATAAATACTAAATTGCTTAACTGTGACTGTTACAAGACATTTTCATAAATAAATCACTGATTTAATCGATCTAAATAGTTTAATAGACTCGACGTGGACGTTAGAGCTTAGTAGAATATACTTCAAAATGTCTAAAGTGTCTTTAAGCAATATTCCATCAAATCCAAGAATAAATCGCCTGCGTACATTTTCTAGGGTAAGTACAGTGTTTATTCGTGACTAAAAAAAATTTAAAAATGGAAATTCTATACTGTCATCTTTAAGGTTACCTGGCACTGAACTTCATACCTACATATTTGAAATCATATATATACATCTTTTTAATTTTTGTTTATTCATAGAATAACTATAGAAAAAACTATTCTAACTATTTAAGTATGATACTTGCTATCATAAATTTTCAGTAATGGTAGGTATAGCCACAACTGTTATATTCTTTGTTTTGGGTAATTATTTACTGAATATTATCACTAACACACATCACAAACAATCAATCACATAAAGCAATTTAATTGATTGTCATATGTGTCATCAAAATACTAATGTATTCTTTTTAGAGTAGACCTGGCAAGGTATACTCATAGTTAATTCCTATAATTAGGAAATAATAAAGAATTAACTTGTCTGCCTTGTGACATATCAGGCAACCTATGATAAATTTTGATATTATTTTAAAAGCATCAACTGACAGTTGATCATAAAAATTTACTATAGTGATGTTAAATATTTTTAAATTTAAGAACAAAATTAAACCACTGAATTAAATGATTCTACATGTATATTATTAATGAGTCCTAGTAACATGGGTTATCATAAATAGGTTTTGTACATATTATGACACATGCATGTGCTATACAATTTCAAAACAATGACTGCTTATCACTTAACACATTTGTATGTACTAAATATATTAATTTGTGTACATCTATAACAAACTTTTAACTATAAATATTAAGAGGCAGAGGTTTTAGTAATCAGAAAATACATTTGACTAAGGAATTACAATATTTCTACTTTATAATGTATCTATACTAAAATATTAATCATTTAACTTACTACTTCGATACTTACGAATTTTTTATTACTTAAAATAGACTGTAATATTTTTAGATTCTTAAGGTATAGGTTTAAAGAGATTGGAATTTTCTATAAATGAGAATATCAATTGTAAAACTAAATTTACATATGTTTGAAACCAAAAATGTCAACAAATGACATCAATAAACAATGAAATTTTTCAAGAGATAGTTTATGATTTACAGTTTTATATCAAGGAAATACCATAACACTGCCGTCCAGTAAACAATGAGTAGTAAACTCAGTAATTAATACAGCATCCGCCAGTATTAAACGTTTCCAACTCATTAATTTCAATGTCAATGTTGTTACATATCTTATTAATGACAGCTCTTATAATCGACTTGCCATTCCTGAACACAAACATTTTGTTTCTCATAAAAAAAAATATCTCTGAAACTTATTTCAAGTAGTTCTATTATAACTTTTTTTATAAGGCTATTTCTGCTAACTAAAATATACATACAATAGAATACATCTTATATAGAATGAAGGTCTCATTTCTAGTATTATTTTATATCTTTCGTTAATATATTAATACTGCATTTGTAATAAAAATTCATTAGCTATTCTTAAAAATACTATTCGACAAATGCAACTTTTTTATTAAGTGTAGGGTATGTTTCCTAAATAAATAAATAATATTTTGAGTTCACTGATGATATTTATGTAACTGTAAATATTTTCTTGATGATAATCGATTCTTCTAGATAATAAGATATTATCTCAGTAAAGATTTACTTTGATCTCTTAAGCTATCTAAGGTAAATTTTATATCCACGAATTCTTACAAAAAAAGTTAGCTTGAAGTTTTTGGTCGGTTTCGGTCCTTTGTGCGTAAAAGCTAGCTTAAGTTAGCTTGTTTTTAGGTCTTATTAAAAAAAATACGAAATATAAAGGATTTTGAATGTCTTAGCAAGAAATTCTCAATCACAAGTAAACTGGTTAAGTCTATACTAGAATTTGAAGTAGGTAATCGTAAAATTTGAATAAACAAATTGCCACTGATGTAGGATGGCTAGATTCTCATAACTAAGTACTCTTAGCATTTGAATAAATTGTGTAACACTGGGCGAATGGCCAAGTAAAGCATGCAGAAATGCAGCGATACGCGATGCAGATACTAGGTCTTATCATGAACAAATATATCTGAGTTATCTACATTTTTTTATCGAGGGTTTTTAATAGAGGTAAGACAAGCTCAGAGATCCGCGGATTAGTGTAATAGACAACCAATGTAGTCTTTTATGAATATGTTTGAGGGGTCGACTTATTAAAGTTGTGATGATCGTATTATCTTGGTATAAGCAGACCAGAGGGTAAGATTCTTAGACGAAACAATGTCGCGTTTCGCTTCATTGTGATTGGCGAACGACAAGACGGAACGTGTCGCGTATCTGTGATTGGACGAATGGTACAACAGCCGTGGATGACGTTTAGATTGCCGTGATTTAACGGCTGATCGCGTGGCGGGACGCGGACAAGGCTACGCTGTTACCGCGCGATTGCTGGTGGCACCGTGGGGTTTTAGGGTTTGCACAGTAGCGAGCCCCACATAACCCTCCACCATAAGGCAGTCGTGCCGCGGAATTCGTAACGCATTTCCCCACGTGATTGCTAAAAACATTTTCATATGCTACCATTGTCATTACGACGTGATATTGCGGACACTGTCTACCTAATGAAAAATAGCTACTGGTACGGTCGATTGCACCGAGCTGTTAAGCAAAATAAACCTACGTACATATAACAAAACTCTAAGGCACATGAACCTATTACATGTACCTAAAGTAAATAAAAATTATAGAGGGAGCAACTTTATGGTTAGTGCAGTGAACAGATTTAATGAGTTAACTATTGTTATGTTCGCCACGAGTGTGGTAGCAGCAAGGAAAGCTTTGACACAAAATTATTTCGATCATTATGAATGAAGTACATTCATAACCTTTCATTATCTACTAATTAAAATTATTGTTTTTTCTTTTTTGTTGTACAACCATAATAATTAGCATGTTCTTATTTAAAAAAAAACTATATGTGAAGATTTTTAATTGGCCCGCAATATTATATACGTATATCTTAATATATATATTTCTTGTGTGCGTGTGTATGTGACTGAACTTCTCTCAAACGACTGGACCGATTTTGATGAAATTTTTTGTGTGTGTTCAAGGGGATCTGGGAATCAAATCAGCCCGGCAGATGGCACTGCATTCGGTACTTTCATACTTTGCTTAATATCCTAATCGCTTTAAATATCATGCAGGACAACGTCTGTGGGGTCCACTAGTATAATATATATATATATATACTCGTATACATCTATTTCTGTATTGTGCTGTAAATCTTATTAATAAATAAAAGTAAAAAAACGTTTAGGGTTGAAAGATTTATAATTAACATAAGAATGTATATTTCAATGTCCTTAATACAAAATTATCTAGTACGGTAAATACAATTAGTTTTGCACCCTAAATATGTTTTAGTAATGGAACAATTAACACTTGTTGACACTATTGGGTACATAATGAGAGGTAATTAAGAATCCACGTCCGAAGCAGCTCATTTCATTTTTCGAACATAGCCGGAGTTACCGTGCGCATTTAATAAAATAATTAAAGTTATCAAGACATCGTTGATTAGGTTTATCAAATAATACATAGGACTTGATACAGGCTTATCATTACTAGTTGGCTTTGCAGCTAATGTGGGTGAAGTGTATTTTTCTGTGCGATTGACAGATTATTGAAGAACAATGGTAAGTTTTTTATTACTATCGGTATTTATTGAAATTCAATGAAAATACTCGGGTTTCTGCCCTGCCCTTAAATCTGGGTCAAACGGTACCTACTTTATACAAATCTTACAAAAACTCGAAATTAAAGCAGTTTTCGTCGTTCATCCTTATGAGTAATAGAACATTTTAGGGTACGAAACCGTCTTGACCGGGTCAAGCAGGGTCCTTTACTTT